ACTTACAAGTTTTCTTTTGTCTTACCTATACTTGTTCAATCTTGGTACCTATAATGTTTAGTTAAGAGTGTTATCTCTTTATTCATAAGGACCTCCAATAATAGTTTGGAATAAACTAATCCTTAAACTATTTGAACAAATGCTTTAACTTAAATCATTACAAATTAAAACAGAGGGCTAAATTAGCAATTCGGTTCACAATTCGTGGACATGCCTAGTGATTATGATCCTCTTCTTGGCTCTACTTGGGTGAAGTTTCTTCTGAATTCCTTTTAGGATTTCTTGTTGACTGTCTCATTCAGACAGACTCTAGTTCTTCTGTCTCTCAAGGCGAAACATTCTCTCTGTATCCCCTCTACCAAAATTTTTTTAGAATTTTATATATTTTATTAGGTCATCCTCCAGACTTTGTTTGTCAAGCGAAAAGTGACCCACCTTGTCAATCTTTTCCTGCTATGTGTATGTTCACATTTCTCTCGTCATCTTTGTAAATCCACAGTGCCTCTCAGTGCTGAGAATTATTTCTGGGACCAGAAAAGGAGGAGTGTATCCTTTGCCTCTGGATAATACTTTATAACATTACCAGCCAATGGCCCAGCAGGATCAGTTTTTTAATGATTGATAGCCATGCCTTGACCTCTGAAAGTCAACACATGAACTGATAGTTTATCCCTTTGGGTAGTGACTTACTTTATAACCAGGCGGTGTTGATAAGTAATCTTTAGGATGTTTAGTGACATCTCATCTTCTGTAGTTCTTTTGAGGAGTGATCAGACTGTGCAACCTGATTGTTGAAGTTTATCTACAAACGTACATTCAGCTTTTCATTTTCTACTTTAAATAATCCCTTTTATCTTTAAAACTTTCTGTTATATTGCCTCTGTTTTTGAAATTGGGGCAGAAGGCCAAGCATCAAGATAGAGTTGCAGTCAGGATCCCAGAACTGTGGCTGTTTTATTCAGCAGCCTGTAGGGGTGAAATTCGACAGGAATTGGTCTATATAATTCCAATGGGCAGGGCTTAATAACCAGAATTGAGGTGGGGGGGAGGTGTAGTTTAACTACTCAGTGGCAACGGTGGGGGCTCAGTATTCAGCACATTATGGTGGGTCAGTTTAACACATCAGTGTGGGGATTAAACCTTTAGCACGTTGTGGTGGGTCTGGTTAATTCTTCGGCATGGGGGTTAAATCCTCAGTAGGCAATGGTGGGTCAGGTTAATTCCTCAGAGTGGGGGGGGTTAAATTTTCAGCAGGCCATGGTGGGTCTGGTTAATTCCTCAGTGTGGGGGGGTATAAATCTTCAGCAGGTCGGGATGGGTCGCGTTAATTCTTCAGTGTGGGGGATTAAATCTTCAGCAGGTCAGGGTGGGTCGGGTTAATTGCTCGGCGTATATGTTAAATTTTCAGCAGGTTGGGATGCCCAGCTAAGAGGGAGGATGTTGGGATTTATCTCTTCAGAGTCGTGGTGTTGGGAGGAAGTGGGGTAGTTTAGCAATCGCATGGACAGAATTTAAACTGCCTGCTGATGTGATTTTTAACTTGATGCGGGTCAGAATGTTATCAGGAGTTTGGTGAAGGGTGATATTGAATCAGGTGAGAGGGTAACTGCAGTAATGCCAGCTACCTTCCCATCTTCACCCCGATTACAGCAAGAGAGGTTGTGACTGACGTTCATTCTGCCATCACTAGAATTAACCCGAGGTGGCTGGTGTCTTGATCATCCTGGGATAATAACAAGCAAATCTTCGTGGCCTTCTTGCAGGCTCCCAGATAGCTCCCACATTTAAGGCCCCCATCAAGGGACCCAGTATCAGGAAGGAGGGTGGCTGCAGAGAACTACTCCTCTGCAATTTCTGCCAGAGCCCCTCTCTTTAACCCGCACTGCACTGTGCCTTGGGACTCTGCCATGATCTTGAGCCTCGGGTGGGTGTCATACTGGCAGCAGCCACCACCTCCCTGGTGGTGCTGCTGTTCCCATAGAGGTCCCAACCTCTGATTGGCTGGTAGCTCTTGGTGATTCTTGGGGCTCTTAATGCCATTAGAGGCACACTGCCATCTTAACATTATTTGGCCTTCCCTAAAATAGAATAGGTGACTTTCCTGAAGAACAAAAACCCACTATAACTTGTGAATGAAGCAAAATAGTTCAACTGGTTTTGTATACTTCAAAAGCTCCAGTATGATCAATGTATTAATTTCGAAGAATCTCTTGTTTTCAGCTGGTTTATGTCTCTGGGTTTGCTCTCCAGCTGGTGGATGTGATCACTGCTGCCTCCATTACATACTGCCATTGATAGGCCTGACTCTGGTCAAGTGAGCAATACTCTAGAAAAAGTCACAGTCCTGCTCAAGGTATGTTTCCTGCTGCAGGTAAGAGAGAGTGCAAAGATGGCAGTTTAGGTTTGCGAGTGTACAGTGTGCCTTCAAAGGATGGGGGAGGGGTGCGATTACAGAGAGATTGGGTGCAGAGCTTGGAGGTTGTTTACCATTGGGTGGGTGTGATCATGGAAGGTGCAATCACTGATAGCTACAATATGGTGTTGGCAATGGATGTCAAATTGTTTGGGAGTGTTGGTGATAGTGGGAGTGGGTGTCTGCTCATCAGTAAAGGTTTGGTAGGGGGACAGTTAGTGATGGTGTAAGGGGTCTGATGACAGAGAGAGAAACAGGTTCAGGGGCTGGGGTGGCGGGATGTTTGATTGGGGGGGGTGGATGTAGGGTTGTGAGACACCCTTGCTCCTCTTGACCCCCCAAGCAGTGCTGTGAGGACACTCTGCCGTTCCACATGCTGGCTTCTCACTGGCGGATTTCTGGAAACCTTTAAAACCTGGCCAGCCTGGGTTTAACATCCAAGGCTGATGTTATCCGAGGCATATTATAATAATTACAAAACCCACCTTCTGCAAGTTGTTGGTTGCCCTGTTCCTATCCCGCCTCTTTCAAAACTGGAAGTGGAATGCTTCAAAAAGGTTTAGGTTTGAGTTTGAGATTTTTAAATCTGAACATCCCATCCTGTTTGTGGGAGATAAAATCTGTGGTGTTGGGGACTATTTTGTTTCTTGCTTTAGGATTTCTTTATATAATAATGGTGGCTACACTGAGACATCAGGGCAATTTAACACTCGCCTAGTTTACTTACCTACCTTCTAGATTCCTTCATCGCACCAAGCAGGATTTTATTTTCTGGATGCAGTTCTAATCCATTGATCAAATAGAAGGATCGAGAATTTATGTTTTTAAAACAAAATGTCGATGGGATTAAACTGTAGGTGCTAATGAGGCCAGAAATAGAGGACAGCAGATATCTCAGGGTTGTGAGGCTGGAAGAGATTACAGAGATAGGGAGAGATGAGTCTGTAAAACAATCTGAAAATAAGAATGATTATTTTAACATTGAGCCATTGCTTAGGGGAGTAAACACAGGTCAGTGTGTGTGCGATAGGAACGGTTAAACAGGATATAGTGCGAGTTAGAACTGGAGCAGCATAGGTTTAGGATAACCATCAATTTTCAGAGACTAAAACTTGCCAGCCAGAAGTATGTTAAAGTGTAGGGATAACAACAACCAGAATGAAGGTTTCAGCAGAACCTGTACTGGGACTGAGTTATAATTAGGTGATCACATGGAGGTGGAAATAAATGGTTTTGGTGTTGACTTTGAGGTGTGGGTCTGTGAAGTGGTTGTAATGAGTTCAGCCAGCTGGACTTCATAGAATATGAGTTCCCTGATTGGGACTGTTAACCTGGTCCAATCAGGGAAGACTGGCTGACATAAAAGGATGAATGTCAGTGATACTGGGAATGCTTGACTCAGTGAGAGGCAGTGTCATTGTCAAAGGCTATGCATTTGTAAATAAAGGGTGATTGATGATAGAATGCTGGCCGCTGAAGAGTTACTTCAGTGGCGATGTGAGTAGAGCATGATCCAGAAGAAACTCGCTCGCTGCAGTCTTTTGAAGGTGGGCTAAGCATTTTCTTACATCATGCCTCTGTTTGGGAAGCTTGACTGGTTCAACCCTGCCATCAAAGACTGGGTACAGTTTGTGGAAAGAATGGGTTATTTTTTTCCGGGCAAACGGAATTGTGGCAGATGAAAAATAAGGAATTCAGCCTGTGGAGCTGCAGCTTTTTCTGTTGTTAGGAGCCTGACTTTTCCTGAGGCACCAGACTGTAAAACCTTTTAAGAATTAATTTACATAGTCAAGGAACATTATTACCCTAAGCTTCTGTTAATTCTGCTATGCTGTCACTTTTACTTGGCAATTCAAGAACCAGAGAAGTCCACGTTGGGGTTTATGACTAGGTTAGGATGACTAGCAGAAGCCCATGAATTTGGTTTAACTCTTAATTAGATGCACAAAGACCATCAAAAAATATGTAGGATTTATGATATGACTATGCAAAAACTCAGGAAATATCCTGATCAGACAAACTCTGCAGCTCAGCATGGAGACAAATACACCCCTGTGGTTGTGACCGGTTTGATTCAACCTCAGAAAGTTGCCACGAAGAGACACCAAATGAGCAGGGAATGGAGCTTGCAGTAGTGACCAGAGATAATGCAGTTAGTAGAATGAAATGACTATTCATCTAATATTTAATGCTGGGTAAGTAGGCTGACTAATTTTGAAGCAGTGGAAGAGAGGAGAGTGATGTCGGTGAGGTTAGGCAAAATTACTTATAGTACTTATTGTGATGACTTTATATTGCTATAGTTTCAATTGTAACAAATTAATGAGTACAAAAGATAAAAGTATATTAAAAACAAATGCAAATTTAATCAGCCATGAGCATGATGAATGGCAGAAAAGGCTTGAAGGGCCAAATGACCTATTCCTGCTCCTATTATCTGTGTTTCTAATAACGTATTGAAATTGATCTGGATTATTAAAGGTTAATTTGTGTGTAGGCAGAAATGACAGCTTCAGGCAAACACTATCTAACATCCTGTAAGTCCAAAGTCTCATGGATTATGCTTGTTAAGCAATGCAACATGGCTGAAATTGCCGTCAGCAAATTGTCCTTACGCTAATCTCAGCAAATTTTGAGGAGAATTTCCCCTTGTCTGTGGCCAAAATTCCAACCAGTAGACTGAATGCTTCTTGGCCAAGCATGTGAGTGGTTTTAACTTGGTCATTTATTAGCAATAAGTAACAATTCCAGTTGTTAGTGGTTAAGTTTGAGTAAAGGAAATGTTACTGGCAAAAGGGAAATTGTCAATACTGTAACGTTAGTAAAAACCTAACAAGTAGAATAAACATTTCACTGCTTAGGAGGTCAATTCGTAACCTGAATGTTGCTTTACTTTGACCGTTCGCTTGGATAAATATTTCATGTGTAGCCCATCTACCACTGTTGAATCAATGGCTGCATTTGACCTTTGCTCATCTCAAAGAATTTGTCTATCACTAGGTTCACCAAATAACTGTCCTTAAATGTTAAATTGATGAAGGCCCACTGCCAAGTTTAACTATTTGTTGACCAAAATTTCATTCAGCAGTTTTAAATATTGTAACACTTATTGACAAATTGTTTTGGATTCTTGTCTCATTATTTTAAGATAGATTATATGATGTACAGCAGGATGAAAACATGTTGCTGCAGATGATTCTACACCTCTGTAGCATGAATGGTTGGTTAATACTAGAAAAGTGAAAAAAAACTTCATCCTTTGTTAAAGTAAGAACTTTGATTTAAACAGACATTTGGAAGTATAGAACTTGGATGTTGCCAAAATGAGAGAGATGTTGTCGAAGGTTTTTTTGTCTTGCACTCGTCAGGACTACTGCAAGACTGAGATGGATAGGTTCTTGATTATCAAAGGGATCAAGGGTTACAGGGAGAAAGCAGGAGAACGGGGTTGAGGAACTTATCAGCCATGATTGAATGGCTGAGCAGACTCGATGGGCCGAATGCCCTAATTTCTGCTCCTATGTCTTATGGTCTTATGGTTTAAACCAGAGAGTTGGTTTGGTCCATGTCAGGCCAGACTGCTATCTTTTTGGTAACGAGGAATATTCATGTGTCTGAATGTTCGTTACAAAACACCTATTAGTATAGTGAGTGTGAGAAGTTTATGATTTATCTTTTTCAAGCAGTTATTATCATCTATGTTGCTGTAATTGTGTGCTTGTCCATAATACTAAAGTTACTTATTAATTGTTCATCTATTGTTAATTAACATAATTTGGTAGTTCAATCTAAATGAATCTAATGAGTCAATGCTATGACTCCTTGTGCATAAGGTCATTGATTGAAACATTAACAGAGAAAGGACTTGGACAGCTGTTGTCTTCTTCCTCTCCTCCTCCTCCTTTACTTACTTTACTTCTCTCTCTTCTTTTCACTACAAGTTCCCTCATCACTGTTACTGACAGGCTGCTTTAAAGACTTTCAGATCCTCAGGGAGCATGGCTTCAATGGTAGAGGGCTTGCTAGAAAAATGTCATCAGCATTTGGGATGTCTCTCCTCAGTCAAAATCAACAGAGTTTTGTCATATCCCCATTTCTGCCTAAGGATCTTGTGATGACTGACACCAGTCCTGAGGTAACTGGGACACAGCCGAGTTGGCCATGTTTTGCTCACTCCTGATTGTGGTGAATTCCTCTAGTCATTCAACAACTTGTGTATCTGTAGATGTCTTGACCAGGAAGCAAGGGGGCTACTTCCAGTGTTGAGTTTCCATCTCCTCCATGCCTGATAGGGAAATGTAGCCAAGCAAGTTAGGCCAACAGCTGGGAAGGTAGTCTTGTTCAGCAGATCTCAGCAATGACCTGTTGTAAAATTCTGAGCCTTCTGTCACTCGGACATGTTGAGGGAGCAGATCCTCTGTCTGATATCCCATGGCAGAAGTATTGCTGCTTTCCACTTGCTCTTAATATCTGTCTCATTTGTCCTTTGAATGGCATGTGATTTGGAGAAGGCAGTGACGCTGCTGCTGCTGGTATTTCTTCAGCTACAGCTGGTGGTTTTGATGTTGCTGCCCCTCTTGCTTTTCATTCAAAGTGGAGGATAGAACTGTTGAGGTTGTTCCCATGCTATGGCGATGGCTGGGCAGCAGGGAACAGTTAAAGACAAATGATGTGTAATGACTTACAAAGATATTTTCGAGCAATGAAAGCAATCTCTAGGAAGGAACTCTTACCTGGCTATGGTTGGTGGCCCCTCACTTTCCCTGACTGGAGACTCTCCAGCCTGATTTTTACTAAAGAAGTGCTCCTCATTGTCCATTCACCTGGTTGATCCCAAAAAGTTCTGACAAATCAAGAAATAGCCCTTTAAAGTCAGAACGCAGGATTTAAAAAGATGCTTAATTGCCTTTAGTTACCTTCCTGAAGATTCCATGGAGGGATGTTCCAGCTGCATTCAAACACCCCGAGATGAAGCCTGGATGAGGCAGAATAAAGTTGGAATGTTGACCCAATGTGATTTTAACTCCTTATACGCATCTAAATCTGCCTTTCTTTAGCTGTGAAAACTCCTCCTGTGTTTCTACTGTATACATAGAAAGGAAAAGATATATATATATTTATATATATGAAACAATGTAGTAAAACATATAAATGAAGAAGAGTGTTGCTTGTGGAGAAGTGCACATATTTGTAGATGTTTCAGTGAGTTCAATATCTGTTATGTATTAATATATCATTTGTTTCCTTTCCTGTACAGAAACAGCACGTCACTGCACAATGCCAACCAGTGATGGGGACACAAATAAATGCATAGAAACAACAACTGCAAATAATATGCAAACTAAAAACGTTAGTGCATTTTTCTCCTTTCTTTTCAAGTTTGATGAACTTGCTGAATATAGCCTGGGATTTCTAGACTAAAATTTTGTCCTCAGGTTTCTGGAGTGAGATTTGAACTCAGCCATCTCACTTGGAGGTGAGAGTACTACCAAATAAATTACAGCCAACATGGCAATGATACCTAAAGTAATCACCTCCACTTTTGGACTTCCCAAAAGTAGAAACATTTTCTCAATGTCTGGCATATCAAATGCTTTCATAAACATAAAGACCTCTGCCAGGTCACCCCTCCCTTTCCAATGAAAGATACCACAGATTATTAGGCCTTACCCAATGAATATAATCTCTCTGGTATCATCCTTGTGAATCCAATGCATCTCCAAGTGTGAACTAACCAAGATTTCAGACAAGTTTAAAGTAAACTTTTTGATTTTAGGAACAAAGAAAGATGGAAAATAGGAACAGGAGTAGGCCATTCAGCCCTTTAAGCCAGCTCCACCATTCAATATGATCATGGCCAATCATCATACTCAGTCCCCTGTTTCTGCTTTCTCCTCATATCCTTTGATCCCTTTAGTCCTAAACTATACCTAACTCTTTTTTAAAAGCCTTTAATTCTCACCCCAGGAAGAGAATCCCAATGGGGGAATCACAAATTCACAATTTGTTTGTTTTTTTTAAATTTTAGTAGTCTATCTTTCTGCACCTTCAGATTTCTTTGCTTCCCTGCTCCATTTAGCTTCTTGCTATTCGAGCAATATATGGGCTTCATATAACTCCTTCCAAAATACACTACTTCACACTGAGATTCATTTACTAACAAAATACTCATTTTCTGTGCTTATTCATAGCTTCTTGTTTTTTTTTTTGCTCATTTTTCCTCAGCATGTTCAGTTATTGGACCTTCCCAATGTTTCAGACATATGTAAATATTCGTATTGTATGCCCCCAATTTTGTCATCTGTAAATTTTCTGATTCCCAAATTTATTTTGTTTATATAAGTGCTGAGTAACAGTGGAACCTGCACTAAACCCTGTGGAACACCGTACGACTTTTCTCCAGTCTAAAATAGCTACCTTGAAGCAATATTCTCTGTTCCTGTTCATTCTACTCATTGTCTCCTAACTTCACTGATCTTAGTTATGAAATGAACAGAATATTTCAACAATGGTTGATCAGGACTTTACAGTGATAACAATACTTTGATCATCCTCTATTCTAATCTTCTAGATATAAAGGCCAACAATCCTTTAACCTTATATCGTTATTTTCTATACCTGCCCATAACATTTTAATGTTCAATGCACATTGGGGTTTCCAAATCCATTTGAATCTTCACTATTTCTAGCTTTTCATTATTTGGAAGGTACTCTGTTCTTTCATTTTAAGATTCAAAGTGAATGACCACATGTTTGTATATATAGCAATCCATTTACCAAAGTTTTGCCCATTCACTTAATCTTTTTCTTTCTTATTCTGTCATGGGATGTTGCCATTGCTGGCAAAGACATAATTTGTTGTTCATCCTAAATTGCCCTTAAATTGAGTGCCTTGCTAGACAATTTCAAAAAACAATTAAAACTCAACCACATTGCTGTGGGTCTGGAGTTACATGTGTACTAGACCAGGGAAGGACAGTAGATTTCCTACATTTTTAAAATATCAAAATATACTTTATTCATTAAAAAAGTCTCTGTATATATACATAGTCACAAATATAGTTTGGTTCTGTACAGATAAGTACCAATTAATTAAGCAAAACATTGGACTTTGACTCCATCCAAAAAACACACAGACCTTTCTTACACATACAATACTAATATTTACATATGTCTGAAACATTGGGAAGGTCCAATAACTGAATGGACCCCCATTTACCTTCAGCAGGAAGATCTCAGACAGTGGTCATTCCCCACTGCACCTTGGTGGCAGCTGCCCCAAACTTTAGTGGATCCCTCAGGACATAGTCCTGGACCTTGGAATGTGCCAGTCTGCAACACTCAGTCAAGGTCAATTCCTTGTTCTGGAAGATCAACTAGTTTTGGGCAGACCAAAGAGCATCTTTGGTCCTCCAAATACAGTTGATGTTTCTCTTGGTGTTTGTTCTAGGCAATAGACCATTGAGCACAGATTCCCGTGTCACGGAGCTGCTTGTGATGAACCTCCTGTCCTTCATGGAGGAATTTGCAAAGAAAAACACCTGTGACCACAAGTCCATCAGGAAGTGGTCAGTACTTAGCATCCTCGAGAGATTGCGGGAAAAGCAGAGGGTGGATCCTGTCACGTGGTTCCCTAAGCAGACTGTCAAAGTCATTTGGCAGAATGCCTCATCAACAGAACTTTCCAACAAGCACCAAGACATCGCTTGGCTGGTGATGAGAAGGGCACTACCTGTGAGATCCTTCATGTACGCATGGTTGGTCTGTGCCACTGCACGCTGCCCTCAAAGCAGCTGCAGTGGGGTTGAGACTGTCGCACATCTCCTGCTGGAATGAGCCTTTGCAAAGGATAGTAGCTTTCCTTCCCTTAAGGACATCCGTGAACCTGTTGGATTTTCACACAAAAGTCATTACTTCTCATGGTCACCATTGCTGAAACTAGTTTTACAGTCCAGATTTTTATTTCTGTTAATTGAATTTAAATTCCACCGGCTGAATCCATGTCCCCAAAGCACTAACCTCGGCCTATTAAATATTATTTGAGTAACATTCTTATTACACCTTCGCCCACCAATGTATTAATACCTGTATCTCCTCGTAATTTTATGCATTCATATATATTTTCTCAAATACTGGTGTTTATGTGTTATTAAGAAAATTTGAGTCTGTAACTCCCAATCCCAAATTAACATCAAATATGTTTCATAGTTGTAACTCCAAGATCCATGTAGACAAATTCTGCTAATTCATGCACTTTCCTATTTTGTCACTATTATTATTTTCTACAGCTCAGCTGATTTCCTGTCTGCTCAATAATTTTTTTCAATTTCATGGGCTTCCACCTTTGTTAATGATCTCTTATGAAAAACCTTGTCAAAAGCCTTCTGGAAGGCTATATAAATAATTATTCACAGCCATTGCCCTATCCCTTACTTTAGCTACCCCTTCAAAAATTCAATCAGTTTTAACAGGCATAAAACCTGAGAAAATCATCCCTCTACACTCTGAATTTTCTTTCATTACTCATCTATCTGTAGAAGGTTTTATTATTTATTTTCATAATGCTTAATTAATTCACCTCATGGCACTTCTCTGCTTTTCTAATTGCTTCTTTTCTCTACTTTTCTAAGTCTTTGAACTCCCCTTTGTCATCCTTGTCTTTATTGTATATGGCCTGGAGTTTCTGTCTAATTGTATATTTTTTGTTGCAATTTGCCCAATATCAACATATTCAGTACAAAGTATCGCACAAATTTAAAGTATGAATTGCATTCAATGCAACTGAGTTTCTGCAATATTTTTGCAAGTTTTTTCCCTAAAAATAATGAAACTGATCACAGCACAGTTGAATTAATTGCAGTTCTATAAGGAGTGTCTGCTAGTTGTATCTTTTTGAAAATTGTTCAGGTTTGAATTTATTTTATGCAGCCTAATACTCAGAAACTGACTACTTCATCCAAATCTAAGCTGAAAATAGGTTTGTGTTTTATTTTGCCATTTTCAGTAAGTTAAAATCAACATTCTCCCAGGTGATGTAATATCAAATGCTTACTTTTCTGTGGCAAACCGATTTTCAGCTGTTAATTAAACTTCCCTGCTGACCACTCTTAAATACACTTAGGAATAATTTTAAATTGATATTTTGTAAAATAATTTATTTTTAAAGTGCTAATGATTGCACTGATTCATGGAAGATCCTGCATTTGATGATCTGCAAATGGATTTTAGTTTAATGGGAACTGAATTACTGTTTACAAAGTAGAAACTCTTCTCTACATGTGTATATCTTTCTCTATAGTTTTAATTTTTGCTTCTCACTTTTTATTTATCTGTTGGTGTTTCATTATTAGATAGCTTGTCTTTAAGTCATCTCTTTTGAACATTTTGCTCTGCTATTCTATCTTTTTGTCTGTGAAAATTGTTTTTCAGTTTATCTTCCCTTGCTGCTGTCTCATTTCCCTATAACTAGCTTTTTACCAATGTGTTACACTGATCTTTGCTTTGCTTGTGCCTTTCATCATGATTATGACGAAAATGTGTTCCATTATGATTGCCTACACTTGTGGAGAGTCATTAATAATTCCTGACACTTGCTCCTCTTATCATTTCTGGCTCATTTTTCAATACTAGTTGCTGGAACTGCTGTGGTGAGGTCGACTAGGCATCTAGGACATCCATGACAGATGGTACCATTAATCACTGAGATTTAGAAGTTGTGAAAGAAGCAGAGCAACTGTAGAAAAGGAGGGTAACAGATAAAGAGAAACATACAGAAGAAAAGAGATGTTGGGTTAAGGCAGTGATAAGATCATTTATTGCAATTTTCAAGTATAGATGCCCTAATTAGATCAGGAATAAGTCATTAATGGTGCCAATCTTTGCTGAAGAATGGATCTGCCTGCCAGTTGGCAGGTCAAAGGCAGGTCACAGCCATGATTGGTTTGTTGTGGCCTTGCAGAGTAGAGGAGCTATGATATCAGAGGCAGCCTTACTAAACAGACAAAACAAAGCTGCAAACGGCTAACTAAAAGTTATTCCTCCCAACTGAGACAAAACCCTTAGTGACAAAAACCTTTCAACGGAAATAAATGATTCCTCGCACAGAATCTGAATGCTAATGTGTACCAGCCTGTTCAGTTTTGGCAATCTGTGCTTTCAAAATTGCCTTATGATCCTCCCTGCCCATTGACGAGCTTCTCAAGGAATCTAAAGGTGGTTAATTGGAGGAAAAGGGTGGCCTGATTCCATCTCACCTAGCCCTCACTTTGAAAACCACCGTGCATCCCAGAGGCGGAGGAACTCTCCTTTCAAAATCATGCTGTCAGGTGGCATTGTAAAAGTTAAAAATCCCAATATAACTTTGGCTGCGTTTCACCTTCACCATTTCATTATTCTCTGGCATGACTGCTTTGTTCTATTAATAACTTGTCTGAGATAGTTCGTGGAAATTCGATAGCTATCGATGGTTATAAAA